ATATATATATATATATATATATATATATATATATATATATATATATATATATATATATATATATATATATATATATATATATATATATATTTCAATAAAATCATTGATTCACGAGATAATCGACCATATCACCTAAAGTAAAACACCCTGTGTGTGTGTGTGTGTGTGTACACAGGGTGTTTCACTTTAGGTGATATGGTCGATTATCTCGCGAATCGATGATTTTATTGAAAAATTTTTCCAACGAAAATGGCATGGCTTGAAGGAGGACACATGATAAAAATGTGAACTTGACCTTAAGTGACCTTGTCAAAATCAGGTCAAGGTTATTAATGTTTTTTTGAACGGAAACTCCTACTTTTTATTATATATTCTTGTAGCTTATCGCGAGAGCTTTCCAAAACACTATAATAAAGTTACATTTCATTGAGTACTTTCCGAGTTATGGAGGTTGAAAGTTAAAGCAAGATCGATCACTGATCCGGCCAACTAAGGCAAAACCGATCACTGATCCGATCAACTAAGGCAAGACCGATCACTGATCCGACCAACTAAAGCAAGACCGATCATTGATCAGGCCAACTAAGGCAAGACCAATCACTGATCCGGGGAGTTCAATTGGGAAAGATTGGATTCAATTCCGCGCGCGTGAGCGTATGTCAAACAGTGCAAATAGATCGCGGAGACGCGCGCGCGTAAGAATCCCGCTCACACGCGCATGCGTACATGGATAACGCCGGCGGTACTATAACTTTCAAGCTCCATAACTCGGAAAGTACTCAATGAAACGTAACTTTATTATAATGTTTTGGAAAGCTCTCGCGATGAGCAACAAGAATATATAATAAAAAATAGAAGTTTCTATTTAAAAAAACATTAATGACCTTGACCTGATTTTGACAAAGTCACTCAAGGTCAAATCCACATTTTTATCATGTGTCCTCCTTCAAGCCATGCAACTTTTGTTGGAAAAATTTTTCAATAAAATCATCGATTTGCGAGATAATCGACCATATCAGTTAAATTGAAACACCTTGTATGTATATATATATATATATATATATATATATATATATATATATATATAAATTATTATATTTATATATATCAGTAAATAAATATATAAATAAATATATAATAAATATATGTATATATATAATATATAATATATATAATATAAATATATATAATACATAACTAAATAAATATTTATTTACTTATTTATACACACACACACACACATATATATATATATATATATATATATATATATATATATATATATGTCACATATGATAAAAATAATAAATAATATGATAATAAATAACAATGGCAACAAATGGAATTAAGTGCAATAATAACAAAAGAAATATAAAAATAATAATACGCAGATAATTTTATTATTCGTTTAACAAGAGTTATTATATATGTGATGTGATAAAAAAACATCAGCATTTTAAAACTGCTATAACTATTTAACCTTGGCAACAATGTGTATATTTATATGCAAAAAGATATACGGTAATGAAATAAAATTAAAGACAGTAACAAGAATAGCAATATAATAATAATAAAGTATCACAGCGACAGTGAAATAAAATATAAACTGCTCGTTAGATTTTAAAATATCTCGTTATCGTTTAACTTGCAATATCGAGAACCAAGTATCGATGAGGTTGGATGACATTCCGATTCGCGAGTCTCTTTCCTCGTGAAGGAGAAGAGGGGCGCGGGAAAGTCGTTTCGCACACGCACGACGCTCGCTGACACGTGCGAACGAGGACAAGGTCCCTCGCGCGAAACGACGCGCGCGCCACATGTAATTGGGAAAAGTTTTTAATTGCGCGAGCCTCGTTATGTCACGGTACAGCTGTCGTGTTTATCTCGTTCATAAGCGGACGATGAACTGCTAATGAGCGCATGTCACTAATAATAACCTGTAATAATAATCGTATCAATGCGCCGGCGAAACTGACGGTTACGCAAGCTCTTCGGACAAGCCACGATTGACCATTCTTCGAAATACTTTTTGAAGTTCCATTATGTGTGTGTGTGTGTGTGTGTGTGTGTGTATGAATGCGTGTGTGTGTGTGTATACGTGACGTGTACATGTCGCGTGTGTGTATATATGTAAATATTTAATATTTTGTACATGTGAAAATAAATTTTGTTCGAGAATATTCATATTACGCTAGTAAAAAAACTACCATATATATTTACATAGTATATTTATATATTTATATGTGTGTATATTTGTGTCTATATATTGTATATTTACATATATGTATACGTTTTGTATATTTATATATATTTGTATATCTCGTATATTTATATAACACAAGATGAGAGATTATTTCTAATAAAATAAAAATTTTTATATTGCAGCATTTGATAATTTATTCAAATATTTTTTTAATCTGATTTTATATAATTTTTTACACTTTTAATTTTTTGTATATTACTAAATATCTCCTTTAGTTTTAATGATACGAGAAATGTTTAGAGCACAATTTGAATGGTTCCGAGAAAGGAATACCATTTGATAAAAGATAGAAGAACAATTTTTTGCGATCATTTTTTTTCGAAATTGTTTAAGATCCCCAGGATTTTTTATAGGAAATTATGTATTTTTTTATTGCATCTTGTAGCAGATGTTGGAATGCATTGAAGCATGTTTGAGTTATAACTCTGAAAAAACTTTGAACATAAATAAAGCGTTCAAATTTCTAAGACAATGTTAAGATAAATTTCTAAAACAACGTTAAGATAAATCAAAAAAATTCGAAAAGAATCTAAACATTTCTCATATCATTGAAAAGAAGATATTTAGATGTTCTCTTTATACTAGAACATTCTGTATACACACACACACATATATATATATATATATATATATATATATATATATATATATATATATACTAATTAGAACTCCCTAATGTGGTGTTTTTTGGTTTATGAAAACTAATATTTTTTCAATGAAATTCTTTCCATGTGTAACATTCCGGTTATGCAATGTTTTATTTTCGTTTGACCGTTAAATTCTCAGCAGTATTATACCTAAGTTAATGTACTTTAGTGAATTTCATTTCCGTAAATTTAAATTTCGAGAGATTTTATTGCAGTAAAATAAATTTTAGTCAATTGTCCTTCGTAGATAATAATTAGCGATAAAACGTCAAAAATGTTGAAGGTTGCGATACATTTTTGTCGACATTTTATCGACAAGTTGCCTCTCAATAATAACCAAATTATACTGAGAGTAAAATTAAATTTATAGATACTTCTACCTGCCAAATATTACGATTTCTCTATCACTTATCTATAAAATATGAAAAAGAAGACTTGAATGGGGCGATATATATAAGTCGCCTCTTATTGTGATAATTGAATTATATCAGTGTTGAAATTATATCGGTTTGAAATTAAATTTGCATGCCAAGTGCCAAACTATAAGACATTTCACTATTTACTTAGAAAATATTAGTCGCCTCTCATTGTGATAACCAAATTATGTCGGTGTTGAAGTTAAATTTACATGTCAAGTGCCAAACTATAAAACACTTCACTATT